AATGCCCACCAGCATGGGAATGACAAACTTAAAAATTATATTTCACAATGGCATTTCACTCAGCTATAACCCATATACTATTAAGAGAAAGCTTTCAAAAATGTCTAAGTTTCAAAAAATGCACAGAAGCTGGGTGGTGGCGGCGGCTCACCCCTTTAATCCCAGCACTCAGGAGGCAGGGGCAGGTGGATCTCTGAATTTGAGGCCAGTCTGGTCTACAGAGCGAGTTCTAGGTCAGTCATGACTACACAGACAAACCCTGTCTCAAAAAAACAAGAAAAGGGTGCAGTCTGGAAGGGAGTGCATCACGTGATTAAAAGGGGACTGAGAAGGACAAAGGTTGTCTTCTGCATTTGATCAGTTCTAGGAAGTCAGCTGTGACGACACGTTCTATGATTTTCCACGGCAACAACAAAATAGCAACGGCTTTGACTAAAATTTGAGATGTCATGGTTCATTGGCTGCATGTGGATTTTAAGATGTTCCAGATAGAAAAGAAATATATTCCTGCAAGTCAATGGGCTATGATAGTTATTACTAATAAGACTATCTGTGAGAGGACATGGGAGTTACTAGTTACAATGACTACCTTTCAGGAGCCCATCCACAAGGAAAGGAGAGAGGAGAGGATTTTTATTGAACCTCACTTTGTGCCATTTGACTCTTCCAACCACATGAAGACACAGTATCCAAGTTAACACATTTTACATTTGAAGGAAGGATTTTTTTTGAGAATGTATCTTATGTAGCTCAGGCTGGCCACAAATTCACTGTATAGCTCTAGCTAGCTTTGAGTTCCTAACCCTTCAACATCTACCTCCAAAGTACTGGTATTATAGACATGCACCTCCATATACCAATAGGTAGAAAGATTTTCTTTTAATGTAAGAAGCTGCTGGGCAGTGGTGGCAAACACCTTTAATCCTAGCACTCAGGAGGATAGAGGCAGGCAGATCTCTAAGGTTGAGGTCAGCCTGGTCTACAGAGTGAATTCCAGAACAGCTAGGGCTACACAGAGAAACCCTGTCTCAAAAAAACCAAACCAAATAAAATAAAATAAAAATGTAAGAAACCAAATGCTTGAGAGTCCTACCTGATGACGGCCATGCCATTCCGAATCTCAGCCCCCAGGACCGCATCTACCAGCCTGAGAACAGAGCCTGTGGCCAGGCAGGCACATGAATATGAGTTCTGGAGACAGTGGAGAGGCAAAGAGAAAGAATGAGAAAGGGCCGTCCTATCTATTTAGCTCCTTTTTCCTACAGTGAGGTTGGCATGGATATGGGAGATCCCAGAGTAGCTGCTGCACCCTGACCCCAGTTCTTTTTCTCATGCATACCGGATGCAGATAAACTGAGTCATAGGTGCCTGCTAGTATGCGAAGTTCTCCTTCATTCATGTACTGCGTTGTTTCCATCAGGTCAATGTATTCCAGGCTGCGGACACAAGATGGGGATAGGATTCAGAGTCCTGGTCCCTCCCCTGCCACACCTACAAAGCAGGCCTTTGACCAAATGAGGTCTCCACAGTCAACCTAGGGGATCAGCTGGGATGTAGGCCACAGTCCCTACTTTTTCTCTAGCCTGCCCCCCCATCTCCAGTTATACATTTTGTTCCCTGCAACAGCCCTCCCAAATCCTACTTCTAGGCCTCTGGTTATACTATTAACAGTTCTGTTCCTCCCTTTCCTTGGCTCTTCTTTTCACTGGACTCACCCCCTCACCCCCCCACTGCCTTTTTGCCTCTTGGAGCTCAGCTCAGATACTCTCTGCCAAGCTAGGTTTCTGTGAACCACACTGTACCAGGCATGCCTCTTCCTTTAGGTTCCTACAGCCCCCGAGGAGCCTCCTGACCACTCCGCCAGGCACTCGCTGTCCGTTAACAAACTAGACTATAACACTAGCCCATCACAGGTTTAGGATCTGCAAGATGCTGTCAGGTACCTGACACGCATATTGACCCTTCTGATGAACTTAGATTTCTTTTCTTTAGGGGAGTGGGAGGCTTTTTCAGACAGGGTCTCATGTAACCCAGGCTGAATCTGCCATGTAGCTGACGACTGTCTTGAATTCCCAATTCTCTTGTCTTCACGTCCCAAGTGACGGGATTATAGGTGTCTATCATCAGACCTGGCTGCGACTTAGCTTTCAGAGCAATGACAGATTCAGAGAGGCTCAAGGACTTGCCCAAGGCTGGCCACAGAGTCTACGGTATTCTTTCCTAAAGCATTCAGTCTGTCCTGGTGGGGCCAGGGCATCCTCCTCCCCGCCCTACCAAGCTCCCCAGTTTTCACCTGTGGACCAACATCAGCTCTTCCTTCTCAGCAAACCGGGCCTGGAGAGACACGAGGAATAAAGGGCTGGAGCTCAGGCCATGCCTAGGTCCTGCCAGTTCCCTGCCCACCACCCGAACACTGGTGGCTTGAGGTTCACCTGAAAGGACACACAACGGTCCAAGAGGTTCTCCAGGATCAGCTGCTCTTTGATGGCAAGGAGCCGCTCTGGGCATTCAGGGAAGCTGGGGAGGTGGAGATGCAGTCACACATACAGACAAGCAAGACCCCGGGGAGCAAACCTGCTCTAGTAACATCGCCCACCCCCATGGCTGCTCACTCCTTACCTGTGATAGCGGCCTTTCCTCTTGTTATTCCCGAAGCCTTATTCTTTCGTCCCCACTACCATTTATGCCACCAGAAACTCCAGTCTCAGCTGTCTGTCTCATCACCTTGTCCAGACTCCCTCCCTCACTCACCCGCCCAACAGCCCCTTCTGTATACAGTAGCCAGTGGTGAAAATTCTACTGCTCAAGCCCTTTTGTAGCTCCTACTCTATTCACCGTTGAAACCAAAATACTTATGACACCTAGAAGGCCCTAAAAAATCTGTCATCTTTTTTCTGACCCTAATTTTTCTTTCTTTCTTTTTTTTGAGACAGGGTTTCTCTGTGTAGCTTTGGAGGCTGTCCTGGAACTCGCTCTGTAGACCAGGCTGGTCTTGAACTCACAGAGACCCACCTGCCTCTGCCTCCCAGTGCTGGGATTAAAGGGGTGCGCCACTCGCTGGCCAGCCTGCCCCTACTTCTTATCACATGCCTCCTTTCACTTTGTTTCACCTGCAGTGGTCTCCTTGGCCTTCAACTGAACACATGCCTTTCAGGCAGGACCGTGGACTTCAATGTCTTTTGCCTAGAGCACTCTTTTCCACAGCGACTCCATGGCTTACTCCCTTAATGTCCCCTGGTTTTTATTCACATCTCAGCAATGCCTTCCCTGGCTGTTGTATTAAAAAAAAGGAAGCACCCCTTCCACTCAAGCTTAGCTCTGACAGTCTTCCTGATGACTTTTGAAGGCAGTCTGGTTTACTGCTGCATCCCTAGCTCCAACATATGCAGACAGACCGTAAACGGAACCCTTTGACATCCGTCTTAGGTCAGCATGCTTGAGATAGCTACTATATTTGTAAACATCAGTGTAATGATTAACAGACAATGGCAGAGGCTAGTAAAATATCTAAGGTCAGATGGGAGAAAGGTAGTGGCCAGTGAGAGGCTTTTGTGAGAGTCTCAATGGTTGGGAAAGTTGAAAGAGGGGTCAGTCAAGGGTAAAGGCCCATAGCTAGAGGGTGCCTGGCATGCTGGAAGAACAGCCAGGAGACCAGCGTGTGAAGTGAACTGAAGCAAAGGAGGAAAGGACTGGCTGAATAGGTCACTAAGGGTGATGTGGAGCCAAGTCACGTGGAACTGTGGAGGCCAGGATAAAGAATTCAGACTTTACCTTAAGAGCTCTGCCCTTGAAGGGTTTTAAGAAAGGCTTCACTGTGAGACAAAAGGAACGAGCAGGTTCTTTTAAAAGGTAGAGCAGATGAGAAGTATGTTTCAGCATAAATGTCTCTTCCTCAACAAAGGCTCTGGGACTCTGCATGCTAGCTACTCCAGGGCCGTCTAATAAACACCTCTAGCCAAGTGTAGGCGCTCATGCCTATAATCTCAGCACTCAGGAGGCTAAGGCAGGAAGATCATCAAAGGGTTGAGGCTGGCTTAGGCTAAATAGTGAGTTCCAGGACAGCCTAGGCTATGGAGTCAGATTTTGTCTCAAAACAAAAGCAAAAACACATGAATTCCTAGTCACTTGGCCCCCATTAAAACCTTCATACTGCTGTTGGCTGTTTAATGATCTCCCCTCATAGTCACCAATCAGCTGAGCAGGGACGTCTCTATTTTGTTCAAATATATCACCAACTCTTGGCACACGGTAGACACTTGATATATGTGTTGGTTTAAAAGAGAACCCTTTCAAGAATGACCCTCCAGTTCCCTAAATCATCTGCTTCCAGACTACAGGCTAGAATAAGAAAAGACTCACTCCTGCTTGGGGGAGAGGGGACAGATGTGTAATGTTCTACTTTGGGAACAATCTGGAGGTCCCAGCCTCACCTGTCATCCCAAAGGCAGTGGAAGTCATTTAGTTGTTCATCAAACACCAATCCAGTACCAAACGATACTCTTGGCTCCGGGTTCAGATCCTGCAGGGGAAAAGAAACACAGATTCATTCAGAGCCCCAATCACAGAAAACACTGCATAGTGTCTAGGGTGGGGAAACCATTGCTTTGTTTGGTAAAGAAGGCCAAACTGCAGCCAGGCATCTCTCACCAGCCCTTTAAGCCCCACGACCAGGTCGTCTTCAACTGCTTGGCTGAGCTTCTTCATTTTGCCTTTCTTCTTTACCTCTGCTAGATTGGGGCTGGAGTGCAGTGCAGTACCCTTCTTAACACCTCGCTTCTGCCAATCAGAGAGAAGGATCAGAGTCTGGACATGGCTGGCTGGCTTTCCCTCCCCCCTCATCAGGGCCAGTCTGGGGCCTCACCAAGGTGGCGCTGGAGTCTTGAGGGGACGACTGGGGATTGTGCCTACTCCTTCGCTGTTTGGTAGAAGAATCTTGGCCGGTGGAGGTCATGGCTGAAGAGCCTTCGCTCCTGGCACGGCTCTAACAGGGGTGTGGTTGGCAGTGAAGACCCTGGAGTGTCCAGAGGACCCCCACATCCTTGCCCCTTTCTTGGCCCCGCCCCTATTCTAGATCGCATCCTTCACGCTGTTCCATTCCTGTGCACTCTAAACCCCGCCCCTCAAGGCCATCTTCTGCCAGAGGAAACCTGGTCTCGTCCGTCCGTTCCCCTGGACCTCGATGCTTTTTAAACGATTCTCCTTCTTCATCTTGCATTTGCACTCAACAAGGTAACCCCAGGCTCAATCCGGCTCTCCTAAGACTTGCCCTTTCCAATCACCGCTTCCCACCCGTCTACTTCCCACACCCTTTCATACCTCTAATCCTCGCCCGGAACGCTTGGCTTCTGCAACCTGCCCTCTTCAGCCTATCTTTCAGGTTAGTCACCGACCCTTCGAGTCCGCCAGGCCAAGCTGCGGCAGCCTCGGCACCACCCTTAAAGACTCACTTAACCCCACCTCCTATAGGGCCGAACCCGCACCTTCCACACCCTCTGATCTCGCCCGGATCCTTTCACTGTGCCCCCGCTGCTCAGGGGACTGCCCCTTTCGATAAGAATCCATCAGACCCCACCCCCTTCTCTGATGCCGAACGTTTAACCAAGCTCCCTCCGCCAATTCTAAGCCTCCGCCCCCTTCCCACCCGGCCATCGACGTTAGCCAATCCTTCCCCCCCACTACTCACTGAGCGCTGCCCCTTTCTCAAACTCCGCCTTTGGCTCGCACCGCCAAATTCCCGGCGACCTGTGTGGCCCCGGGCACCTGATTCCTTCTTTTTCATTGGGCTGACCGTTTTAATTTGCCCGCCCACGTCCAGCCCACAGCACGGATCCCCAACTCCTTTGGCGCACACCACACCTCTCGCGAGCTCACCCAACTGACGAGCGGGTAATACTGCGCCTGCGTAAAGCGTGACTCAACGGTTCGAGACCCGGATCTGTGCCTTGCGCTACCCCCCACCTTCCCCCCTCCCGACTGCCATTCACTGCCCTCGTTCGTTGTTCTGATTGCTATGGCTGCCATTCTCAATTCCAGGCCAGTCATCTTAGGAGCCCTACCGACCGGCATCGGTTGTACTGTGCAGTGATTCGAGAGCAAATCAAAGAAGCTAGGGCGTCTCGAGGATTCCTGCGCTGCGCTTGGCGATGACGTAGCTAGGACAGGCAGGTGACTGGTCCGAGATAACGGCAAATAATGGACTATAGACTAATAAGGACTATGGCTACTGGCAGCCAGAATGAGAGTGGGATACGTGTTAAGAATTTTCTGAGTTAGTCACTACGATGGTACTCAAGCATCTCCAAATGTTAGTTATTAACATTCTGCGAAAATGGGTAGGGGCGCGGAAGGATTCGCTAAGTGGCACACGTTGCCAGAAAGCCACATTTCTGTGATATAGTTCGCATTGTTAAGATGCTTTGCAGAGGGACTTAGACATATGATCTTGGACAAGTCACAGCTCTTCCCTCAGTTTCCTTATCTGGAAAACTGTGATGCTTGCACCAAGACCAGAATGGACTTGGGAGGGGTGTTTTCCTGGATGGCAGCTCAACCTACCTGCCCCCTCCACTGAGTAATCAAAGTAATAGCAGATGGTGGACTGAAGAGGGAAAATTGTCCCTGTGACTCTTTAGGACTCCCACCCTGTGTCTATGTATCAGTCCCACTGGAGGACAATTTGTCCTCCTGATCTCCCCTTCTCTCCCCTTCCCTTTTCCTGCTGGGCTGTATGCTGAAGCTGGAAGGAAACCTTCTGGAGTTCTGCATCACTGACTAGAAAATAGATTGACAGTCCCAAAATCCAGTAGCCAGACCCTCCGACCCTCTTGCAAATGCCACTTTCAGTCACCTGCATTGCCTTAAGGGTTATGGGTCTAAATCTACACACACTAAAAATATATAATGATACATAATAAAGAAATTCTGGGGTGTGATACCTACAGAGCAATATATTAAACAGTGAAGTCTCATTTCCTGTACAACAGGAGTCAGTATATTTTATAAAGGGCTAGGTTGCAAATAAAGGCATTGCGGACACATGTAATTTTTTTTTAAGACAGGGTTTCTCTGTATAACAACCCTGGCTGTCCTGGAATTTGTTCTGTAGACTAGACCAGCCTCGAACTCACAGAGATCCACCTGCCTCTACCTCCTGAGTGCTGGGTTTAATGGTATGTGCCACCATGCCCAGCATATTTTATTTATTTTGCCTGTCTGTTTGCCAGTGCCTAAGAAGGCCAGAAAGGGGCATTGGATCCTCCAAGAGCTGACGTTACCAGTGTTTGAGCCATTTGATGTTGGTGCTAGGATCCAAACACTCAGCCAGCTCTCTACCTCAATAACCATTTAAAAACCTGGTTCTCCACATGTGGGTCACGACCTCTTTGCCAAACCTCTGTCTCTAAAAATATTTACATTACAATCCATAGCTGTAGCAAAATTACAGTTATGGATTGACAACAAAAATGATTTTATGTTTGGGGCGCCACAACATTAGGAACTGTATTAAAAGGAAGATTGAGAACTGCTGACTTAAAACTATAAAAATCAGCCCACAGTATGGCTTTTAATGATCTCTGCTGCAGAGTTCTTGGTTTCCTTCATCTGGCTGATTTCTTTTACAGAATGAAGGCAAATATGCTGGATAGATTTATGTCAACTTGACACGAGCTGAAGTCATCTGAGAGGAGGGAAGCTCAATCAGGAAAATGCCTTCATCAAGCTGGGCATGGTAGCATATGCCTTCAACCCCAATACTGTCTGTCTGTATATTGTGACAGACATGACCATGTTGTTTGGGGAGGATTGTAGAAGGACTTTGCAACTTGGGGCAAGGAAAGCCATTAGTGTTCAGTGCTTGCTGAGCTGTCCTGTAGGAGCTTGGAAAATAAGAATGTTGTGTTGAGGGAAATGCAAAAGACGGAGGCCTGGTGTGTGGAGTTTCGGAGGGAAGGTTTTTATTTTTTATTTATTTATTTTTTGAGACATGGTTTCTCTGTGTAGCCCTGACTGTTCAGAGGGAAGTTTAAAGACTCTATCTGGGCCATTTGTTATTTTGAATTGAGATCCTGTGGTTCTGGTCAGCTTGAGCTGAAGAATCAGCTGTGATTAACAAGATACCAGAACTACTAAGGTGAAACCGTGGCTTTGCTGGGCTACTCAAGGCTGGCCAGCTGGAGGTGAGGAACTAGAGGTGTGGGAAGTGTTTCTTCAGAGCCAGCACACAGAAGCTGTGGTCAAGGTTGTACCTTGTGCTTACAGCTGAACTTGATAGCGTAAGCATCACTCAGGTGGTACTGGTTTTGAAGGCATGATGGTGTCATGGAGAGCAGCTGAGGCTTGGCACTGTGAGAGGCCGGGAGAGGCCATTGGTGAAGGTGCAGCCTCAGCGGCAGTTGAAGGCCCAGGACTGAAGGGATCGTGTCAAGAAGCTGAGGCCTAGCACCATGAGGAGAGGCTAGGAGAGGCTACTGGTGAAAGTGCAGCCCAGTAGCAGCAAGGGACCCCAGCATTTTGGAGATGCCGGTGCCATGGGATGACCACCAAGAACAGCAGCGGAGTGGAGTGGAGCCAGCCAGAGCCTAGAAGACTGTGTGCCCTGCAGAGGGCGGAGCCAGAGGAATGACCCGAGCTCCTTGGAGGAACACACAGGATCGTGAGTGAATTCCAGACATTGGACATTGTGTTATTTACACTTTTGGAGTTTGATTTTACGTTGATTTAATTGTGACCATGCCCTGGTTCTTCCCCCCTTGAATTAAAGTATTTAACTTACTTTTGATTTTACAGGAGCTCACAATTGATAGACTTTGAATTTTAAAAGGCTTTGAATTTTAAGAGAGATTGGCTATTTTAAAGAGACTAAATTTTTTGTTGGTTTTTTTGAGACAGGGTTTCTCTGTATAGTTTTTGGAGGCTGTCCTGGAACTTGCTCTGTAGACCAGGCTGGCAAACTCACTGAGATCTGCCTGCCTCTCTCTGCCTCTCCAGTGCTGGTTTTAAAGGCGTGCACCATCACTGCCTGGCTAATTCTGCTTCTTTATTGAGCCAAACAAATGTTACTGGGAAGTACAAGGACAGGGACTCTTGTAGTATTGCTGTTCTACTGAATCAAACAGGCTTTTATGCAGAACAAGATCATGGTTTCTAGAGAGTTCTTGACTGTGGGTTCCTATGAAAGCTCAGCATGAGATTTCTGTGTGTGTGTGTGTGTGTGTGTGTGTGTGTGTGTGTGTGTACATGGAGGCCTGAGGTCAACTTTGAGTATCTTCACTCTCCACCTCACTTTTTTCAAACTGTTTCCTTATTTGTGTGTCTGAGTGTGGTTTGTGTGATGTATGCACATGTGTGTGTAAGTGCATGCACGTTTGCACATGTGTGGAGGCCAGAGGAGGTTGTCAGGTGTTATATGTTACTTTCTGGCTACCTTATTCCTTTTAGACGGGGGAGTTCTCTCTGAATCTGGAACTCATTTTTTTTAGCTAGGCTAGCAGCCAGCAAGCCTCAGTGATCATTCTCCCCCCAACGACCATTTCGGCATCAGGTTATAGGCATTCATGAAATCAGACCCAGCTTGTCATATGAGTGCTTGTATCCAAACCCAGGCCCTTAGGATTGTGCAACAAGTACTCTTAACCATGAAGCTGCCTCTCCATCCCCCTCCATCTTATTTTTTGAAAGAGTTGCTTTTATTGGAGTGGGGTAAGACAGGATCTTTCTGTGTAGTCCTGGATATCCTGGAACTCTCTCTGCAGACCAGGCTGGCTCAAACTCAGACGTCAGCCCTCCTCTCTCTCTTGAGTGCTGGGATTAAAGTCATGGGCCACCACTGAATGTACCACCACCACCCAGTGAAATAGTCTCATTTGAGCTTTCTGACTTAGCTGTATTGACTGGCCAGCAGGCTCCAGAAATACTGTTTTGCCTCCCTGGTGCTGACGTTACAGGGATATACTGCACTTTGCTCTTTAAAATTGCATTTCATTCATTTTGTTTCTGGATGTGTGTACATTTGTGTATGCACAGGTGTGCCATACCGTGTATGTGTAGGTCAGAGGGCAATTTGTGGGAGTTGGCAGGAGAGATTCTACCATATGAGTCTCAGGGACTCAAAATGATCAAGGATCTGTGGCTGATACCTGTAACTGCTGGGCCTTCTCCGTAGTCCCTGGCTTAAAAAAGGAATTCCAAACATAGGTTGAGGCGATCCAACACAAATTTTCATGCTTTCCTACAAGTACTTTATTGCCTGAGCCATGTGTCTAGCCCCAGGATGAGATTTCTTCAGCATTCCCAGGTTTCTAGAATGAACTCAGGTGGTCAATTTCCAGGTCATCTAGGTACTTTCTGTATAGGCGCCATGCTTGTGTTCACAGAGACATTAGGATTGGTATACATTGAGGGCTCAGTAGGATTGGTATACATTGAGGGCTCAGTTGGTAGAGTGCTCGCCTAGCATGCGTGATGAAGCCCTACCTTTATACATCTATAAGTCCAGCACTTAGGAGGGGGAGGCAGAAAGTTCAGAAGTTCAAAGTCATCCTTGGCTACATAGTAAGATCAAGGCTATCCTATGCTTTAAAAGGGGAGGGGGTATTCATGCACAGTTTCAGATCGGTGGATTGTTATTAATTGAGCTAAATATTACATTGTGCTAGGGCTTAACAAGTGTTTAGTTGTTTCTCATATAAAATAAATATAATAAATCAGAATGTGTAATACGAATAAATGAATGACCCAGAGACTAATATTGGGGTTAAAACTTCAAGCTGAATATCATAGAAGTAAAGCAGCTGGCCACTAGCTTCTTACCTCTACCTTAGACTGAAATCTCTCCTCAGCGTGGTTACAGTGTCTCTACTGAGACCTTGCTACTGTCTTACATACTTCCCTAATGTTGGGATTAAAGGTCTGAGCTAAAATCTAAAATTCTTTTTTTTTTTTGAGACAGGGTTTCTCTGTATTGCTTTGGAGGCTATCCTGGAACTCACTCTGTAGACCAGTCTGGCCTCGAACTCACAGAGATCCACCTGCCTCTGCCTCCTGAGTGCTGGGATTAAAGGCGTGTGATCCTAAATGCTGAGGTCATCTTTGTGTGAGTTGTTTCTCTTTCGGACTGAATAAATTTCGTGTAGTCACTGTGCCCTTGAACTACCAGAGATCCATCTACCTCTTAATCCTGAGTCCTGGGATTAAAGGTGTGTGCCTGGCTTCTACGGCTTGTGGCCGACTTTGCTTTCCGAATCCTCAGGCAATCTTTAATAAATCATAAATAACATATCGCTATAAGAATGCTTATTGCTGGTGATTCATGGACCCGGAGAAGTTTCATTTTATGACCTATTTTCCTCTATATACTTGGAATTCTCACTGTTTAGTTGGTAGATGGGGAAACAGAGCAGAGGCTCACATGGGAAGCTTTTGTTACCCAGACCTCCAAGTGGTAGATGACAGTTTTGCTCGGATTAAGAATAAATATTGCACAATAATTCTATTGGCTTAAGATCATAGAGACTCACATTTGTTTTCTTTGGTGCAGTGCTGGGCATGAGATCCAGAGGCTTATTCATGCTGGACAAGTGCATTGCTACTGAACTACACCCTCAACCCTGACACAGAAGCTCTTTTACTGCAAAGGTAAGAATTTCTCTATGGGTTCAAGTTAGTGTTTCTCACATGGAGTCAGGAGAATGACAGCATCAGGGGTAAGGCATTGGAGACGTTGTCAAGGAGATGGAAGGATGCGAAGCACTGACTTTCTCTATAGATTTAAGATTGTTCCTTTTAAAGTCAGAAGAGTAGCTTTCTGCAGTTAGTCAGGCCAGAGGATTGCAGCATAACAGGCCAGGGGTCACATATGATGACAACATTAACCCAGAGGGTTACAGTTCACCGCACTTTGACAGATAGATGTTCCTCACATCTTCTTTGGAGGTAAAATTTGCGTATGTTCCTGTTAATATCTTTTCCCATTTTATTTATGCCTCTTCTAGCATAAGGGAAGCTGCTAAAAACATACTGTTGCTCGCTGACCTGCAACATTAGCCTTCATGGGCCATCCCCAGTGCCTCAAGACACACAGTGCTCTTGCTTTAAATCGTCTGCATTTAAAAACCTTTGTGCCCAACATAAACTAGTTCACAACATGTGCATTCCTTGCATCCCACAGGGACAGGCTAGTGTAAAAATATCACGTAGGTGTGTCAAACAGTAATTAGAAAAACATCCAGGTGTTTCTGTACAGCATTGGCACTAAGTTCCTGAACATAATAGGGATCATGAAATACTGTATGTGTTATGACATTAAAGGTTCTAATACAGGTTCCAGACATGTTTATGGCAATTCAGATTGGGAGTCATGTAACTTTTTTCCCTGGCATGTCTGTGTATTTGTTTGTATTTTTGTGTTTCTGTGTGTAGAGGTGAATGTGTGTGTGTGTAAAACCCAGGACACAACCTCAGGTCTTGTTTTCAGGCACAGTGCACTTTTAATATCTTGATACAGAGTTTCTCACTGGCTTAAAACTTCCCAGATAGGCTAAGTGGGTTTCTCAAGAAGCCCTAGGGGTTTGCCTGTCTCCAGTCTCCATCAGTGCTGGGATTATAAGTATGCACCCCCACAATGACTTGTTTTGCCTGGTTCTGGGAATCAAATTGAGGTCCTGCTGTTTGCAAGGCAACACTTTAACAATTGAGGGGTTTTGTTGTTGTTTTTTTTTTTAGGAGTGAAATCTTACCTGTTGTCCAGACTAGCCTTAAACTCTTGGTCTCAAGGGATCCTTTTGCCTCAGTCTCCTGAGTACCTAGGACATGTACTAGGGATGTAGCTTATCATAAAGTTTGCCTAGAATATACTAGAAGAAAGGAAGGGTGGAAAGAAGAGCAAAGACACTTTGTAATTACTTGGTAGAGCATTTTGCAGAGCACAGATGAAACCCCAAGTTACATCCCTAGCAATACAAACAATAACTACAAAAACCATCAACTAAATGGTTTGGATTTCAAGTGTGTACCATCATTCCCACATTGGGATATGGATTATTTAACAAGAAAAAGACAGGTTCCCCTACAGTTTAGCCAGTTTCATATTGATTCACTCCTTAGCTTCCTATTGAATTTAAGGGCAACGGGTTTCTGTACCAGCTCAGGGTTGAGGTGCCTGCTGGGAATCATAGTCCTGTGCAGAGTTTGGACTGTGGTTACTTCCAAGACCTAGGTTCAAGTTTCTTCCATTGGTTCAAGACTGTGGGCCTGCAGGGCACTGCTAGTGCACACCTTCAATTCCAGCACTTGGGAGGCATAGGCAGACAGATCTGTGAGTTCAAGACCAGCCTGGTCTACAGAGTGAGTTCCAGAACAGCTAGGACTACACAGAGAAACTCTGTCTCAAAAAAGGTGGGACTTCCATACAGGTTAAGGCTGGACTTTCAGGATAATGTCATGACAAGAGTAGCACCAGAAAACCCCATCAAATTTTTCTGTTTCTGATCTTCTTGCTTCTGGTTCAAGTGCTGGAATCACAGGCATTTGCCACTATGCCTCTCCGTGTGTGCGTGTGTGTGTGTGTGTGCGTGTGTGCGTGTGTGCGTGTGTGCGTGTGTGCGTGTGTGCGTGTGTGCGTGTGTGCGTGTGTGCGTGTGTGCGTGTGTGTGTGTGTGTGTGTGTGTGTGTGTTGCTAGGGATTGAACTCGTAGCTAAGGCAAACACTCTGTCAACCTAGATACATCCCCATACCTTCTTACTTATGTATTTATACAATTGGTTAGTAGTAATTAACACTGCTAGCCAGTTCTGTGGGTTTTTTCATTCCTGGCAAGAGCTCTTTCAGTCAGCTGCATTCCCAGTAGGAGAGTATTTCTACAGAGAGTCAAGGTGGCAGTTTCTAGGAAAGATCAGATCATAGATTTCTGTAAACGAGTAAAGAGTTCCTTTGAGAAAAAAGAAGGGGACTGGAGAGATAGCTCAGAGGTTAAGAGCACTGTCTGTTCTTCTAGAGGTCCTGAGTTCAATGCCCAGTAACCACATGGCAGATCACAACTGTCTGTAACTCCAGTTCCAGGGAATCCAAAGCCCTTATACAGACATACATGCAGGGAGGGAGGGAGGGAGAGAGGGAGAGAGAGAGAGAGAGAGAGAGAGAGAGAGAGAGAGAGAGAGAGAGAGAGAGAGAGAGAGAGAGAGAGAGAGAGAGAGAGAGAGAGAGAGAGAGACTGACTGGTCCTGGAGTGTGATTTTTTTTAAAGCTTAAAGTCCACAGCTCCTCCAACAAAACTATACCTCCTAAATGGTTTGGATTTCAAGTGTGTACCATCATTCCCAGATTGGAATATGGATTATTTAACAAGAAAAAGACAGGTTCCCCTACAGTTTAGCCAGTTTCATAGGAGGGAGGGAAGGAGGAAGGTTGGTTCAGAAAAATATTTTCTACATAGTCTGATCAGATATGTAGAAAGTTGTCTAGTCAGGCTTCTTGTAAAGGTCAGGATAGGGAGTCCTTGTGAGGTATCATCACATAGCAGCAACACTATAAATGAGCTCTTCTGCCAGGTGAAGCCATAGGTCCATATGTTCATGAATAAGATTGGCAGGGTTCAAAGTAGAGTCAACACAGGTATCCTTGCTACTACTTCTGATAGAACCTTGCTGTATAGACAGACTGGCTTTTTGCAATCAATTCATTTTATGTGTATGGTGTTTTGCCTATCTGTATGTCTGTACTCTAGTTGCATATCTGGTGCCAAAGTTGGCCAGAAGAGTGTTAGTATTCAGGCATCTGTACTGGCCTGTCCTTGGGGTTCTGACAGGATATGCCCTCAGCTGCAGCCACTAAGAGCACCACCTGTACACATTGACTACATTCCCTTATAAACGGACCCTGCCCACCTCCCATCTTTCTTTCTCCCCTTCCCCCTCTCTCCTTTCCCCTTTTTCCCCTCTCCTCCATCACTCCTGTCCCCAGGAACTGGTCTCTGCCCCTCCTCTGCCCTTTTTCTACCTCTTCTCTCTCCTCTTCTAATAAACCTCCATGAGTCCTTTTGAATGACGTGACTTGCCTTTGTGGTGTTTTTAAAATTACAACAAAGAGGCCCTAAAATCCTCTGGAAATGGAGGCAAAGGTACTTGTGGGTGCTGGGAATCAAACCAACGTCTTCTGGAAGAGCAGCCAGTGTTCTAGACTGATGAGCCATCTTTCTAGCCCCGCTGCCTTTTTGCTTTGAGATAGGGTCTCACTATGTAGTCCTAACTGGTCTTGACCAGGCTGGCCTTGTATCCATAGAGATAGGTAGGCCTGCCTCTGCCACCCAAGTGCAGGGATTACAGTCAAGCATCATCATGCCTAGCTAAGGAAGGACTTTCTGAACAAGTTCCAAACACAAGTCTGTGTTGCATGTTGGATCCTGTATTCCTGCTGTGATACCACAGGATTAAGATGTGAGATTCACCCGGTAGTGGTCAGGACTTGTTGCTGACAGTGAAAGAAAGAGCTTCTACACATGATCAGAGTACCTGTAGGAGTTAAGGATGATAGAAATTTCTATAGAGAAAAGTCAGGTCTGTAGAATTCAGAAATGAGTTTATTATATGTGGGTTGTATTTAAGATGTTTCATGGAGGACAGGGAGGTAGCCCATTAGTATGCCAGGGATGTTCCAGCCTAAGGTCCTCACAGGACCCACAGAGAGATTGAGGTTCACATAGAGGGTCAGGACAGGCATCGCCTTCATGGGTGAGTGTTACATGGGCTCCTTGCTGTGTGCAGTCTGAGATTCCTAACTGGACTAAGGTAGGGGCTGATGTTCCTGTGCAGGATCAGAGCGGATTCCCTGTGATTATTAGAAAGGGAATTTCCTTCCAGGTGTAGTGGATACTGCCTGAAGTCCCAGCACCTTCAAGGCTGAAGCAGGAGGTTTGCCCTGAGTTCAAGTTCAATTTGGATGCATACTGAGCAGAAAACCAGCCTGTGTTACATACAGAGTGAGACCCTGTGTCAGAAAAGTCGAGAAAAACAAAACAACTAGATGGAAATTTCTACACAGCAAGTGAGACCAGGGAGGGAGAGAGGGAGAAGAAAGGAAGAGGGAGATGGGAGGAGGGAGGGAGGGAGGGACGGAGCCCTTGGGCGCGCTTGCTCTCTCTCTCTCTCTCTCTCTCTCTCTCTCTCTCTCTCTCTCTCTCTCTCTCTCTCTCACACACACACACACACACACACACACACACACACACACACACACACACACACACACGAATGAACAAGAGGTCTAGGTGTGTAGAATTGCAGAACTGGGCTGTGCTTCCTGCATGCTGTTCCTATGAGTGGCTGAACCTGTACCAAGATAAGGCCAGGCACCTTTGTAAGAGCAGTTCCCAGTAGAGTTGCTATTCAGTTAAGGGGTATTTGCAAGGTGTGAGAGCTGAGGGCTGAGCTGTTTTGGGGCCAGGCATATATATGGCTTTTATATAAGGCCACAGCCATTCTGGACAATCTCTGAAAGGAATATAAACTACTATGATGCTTTGTTTTTTGAGATAGGATCTCTACATACTTCAAGGCTGGATTTGTATTCACTATGTAGCCCCAGTTGGCCTTGAACTCATGACAATACTACTGTTTCAACTTTCTGAGTTCTGGGATTACAG